AGGAAACTCTAAAACAGCGTAAGAGAATCTAAAAGTAAAGACTTTAACAGGTATGAGCAATAGAGATCTGCCCATTTATATAGGAGAAACGGATGCAATGTGTACCGTGAGAAAGATATTTATGGATTGCTCAATCTTTACAACCCATTTCTCCAAACCACTAGAGGATGAAGCATCAGGTGGCTCTCCGTTTGCTCCTCCTCCATTTTCAGGGTAACTTTTCGCTTGAAATGATTCTTCCACCACCACTTTCTGTTCATCCTCTTGCAACACAGTTGCTTGGACTCTAAACGAGTTCCTACATTGAAATTTTGAAGTTACGCAGAATTAGCTGATAGAACAAGTACAATGATACTAAACCTAACCAATTAAGTAATCAGGGTATAATCTTTGCTCAAAAACAAATCTTTACACCCTTTAACTACAGACTCAACTTTACTTTAACATACATAAAAGAAATCATATCCAAGTCCCAATTTAAAACATTGACAAAATTCAATCTAAAGAACAGAAAGCAGTAAACCAAATCTTCTATTCCCATCAATCCCAATATCAACAAAAAAGTCTCTAATAAAATGAAGACACCTCATGATAATAGAAAACAAAAACTGAACTATGACGATGTCTTTGTTATTTTTCACCTCAATTCTAAACTTTTACAGACACCAAGTATAACCTTGAACTAAAACAGAAACCATTAAAAGGCTAACAAGAGAAATAGCATATGGTTTCGACAAAGACCAAAATCTCGAAATTCACAAAATTTACCTGGAGAGTGGACGTTGAGTAGCAGTATGCCTATGATGAGGTGAAGTAACAACATTTAAACCAGAAGGGGTATGAGAATTTAACACAGTGGGCACATTTCTAAAACTCCTTATTTTCAAAGAAGTAGAAGATGATACAGAGATTCCAAACACCACAGAAGACGTTGATGTCGCCATATTTGTTACCACTAAGATCCTCTCTCACCCTCTGTTTGTTTATATAGGTGGTGGAAGAAACAGGAAATTTGGAGTTGAATTTGAACTTCCACAAATAAGAGAAAAAGGAGGATATGGTGGAATCGAGAGGGACGTTGATGGGAAAGAGCTTCTAGAATTGAGGTATTTCTTATATTTATGCTATCCTTGTCCTCGTTAGGAATTATTGTAGATATTTTAGCGGGCGCTTTTGTTGTTTATCGCTGACTGAGGTGGCTGTTTTCATTGGGGACATTCTTTGGGGATAATTTCACAAACCTTCCCTAAAATTTATGACAATTTTAAGTAGCACCTTTCTCATTTCAAATTTTACACTTTCCGTCATTTATAATTTTGATGACTACCATACCCTCAGCATTATTTTATACTTAAATACAAAAATTCAAAAGAACTTAAAAAAAAAAAAAGGTGAAAAGGCACTCACACTTTCAAGTTTTTTTTATTTCCTCTTCCATTCTTAACCTCCAGTTAATCCAATGTTTCAAAATCTTTTTGTCAAGTCTCTGTTCTCTTTCTCTTGATTTAGTGTCAATATCATTGCAATAACATTTGTAGCATAGTAATTAGCCTCCAACACTATTACTTTTTTTTTTCTTAACTCTCGACTACTTTCTTTCAATAACACTAATGTAGAACTTCCAATTTCAAGGCTAATTACTCTAATTATTGCCGAAAAAAAAAAGTCGGAACAATGTTGTTCTAAAAATTTGGCTGTATAAAACTATGCCTAGGCAAGAGAATTCTTTTTTTTTTTTAAAGTTTGGCTGCCGGGCAAGTCTGAAAATTTGTTAAGAAAAGCTGCAAGCTGTCAGACAACCTGCAGCTTAATTTTTTTTTTCTTTCAAAAAAAAGTTTTCTTTTCAAGCTGCTGGGCAAGTTCTTTTTTCAAAAACTTTTTTTTTGTTAATTTTTTTCAAAAACTTAAGTAAGCCCGGCTGCCTGTAGCTTACTTTTTAAAAAAATTTAAAAACTTATGCTACCGGGCTTTGTGGTTAATTTTTTTTTTTAAGTTCAAATGTAAGAAAAAGGTCAAGATAAATTTGCTAAATCAATTATTTTTATTTTATGTTAAACCCCAAAAAAAGTTTTTAGATAAGAAAAAATCTCATTCAATTTACAAGAAGATGCATTTCCCAAATCTTTGAAAAATAATCGTTGAAATTATTATGTATAAGATTTGGTTTTATATTTTTTATAAAATATATAGAAATTTGATATTTACCTAAATAAAATACACAAATAAATTATTATTTGGCAGTGAGTTGTTATAAAAATAAATGTAAAAATAAATATAATAGTGGGTAGTTAAGTATAAAAGTAATTTTTAATGTAAACTATAATTTTATAAATATAAAATTTTTGTGCAATATAAAATGAAAAGGCAAACAATAGAAAAGAAGAAAAATTTGATAATGTGAAATGGTGAAATTTAAAAATAATGATACTCATTCAAATAATAGAAGTTTAAAATAATGCTAAATAGCATATTGAAATGTGAAAACTCAAAGATCTCATGTTAAGAGTTCATGCACAATAAATGCACATGCAAATTATAGATTAGACACAAAATTTTATCAACAATTTATTTTATCCAAACATATATTGAAATCCTTGAGTTAGATCATTCAAGCTAATTAAGAGTCTTACTAGTAGATCTTCATAGTACAAAATGGTAAACTCTATTACTTTTACTATCAGAAAATATGACAAATAAATAATTTGATAATTTACACAATAAAGATGCATCAAATAAGCTGATCCTCATACGACAAGATCAGCAAAAGTAAAACTTGCATTATTCCATCCGGGGGGAAAAAAAGAAAAGAAAAGCAAAGGAGCAAGTGAGCTCCATCGACCGAAAAGAGATTCCCCTGCACTTTTTTGGGCTAATGGTGCAGGCGAACCCCAACTACGGCCAACAAAAGTTTTTAATTAAAAAAAGGAATTTAAGCTGGTTATCGGCTTGCAATTTTTTTTTTTTTTTTTTAAGTTAAGTTGCAAGCTGTCAGCCGACTAAACATTGTTAAGTACTTTTAAGTATTATTATACTTATTTTTACTTTTATTCTTTTAACAACCCATTGCCAAATAATAATTTATTTGTATATTTTATTTAGATATATATCAAATTTCTATATATTTTATAAAAAATATAAAACCAAATTTTATACATAATAATTTCAACGATTATTTTTCAAACATTTGAAAAATGTATCTTCTTGTAAATTGAATGAGATTTTTTTATCTAAAAACTTTTTTTAGGGATAAAAATAATTAATTTAGCAAATTTATCTTGACTTTTTTCTTACGTTTGAACATAAAAAAAAAATTAACCACAAAGGCTACCGATAGCATAAGTTTTTAATTTTTTTTTTAAAAGTAAGATACAGCTGCCGGGCTCAAATCTTAAAAAAAAAAAAAAATTTATCTTGTCTACTGGGCTGACTCAGCCCAGTAGGCATAGTTTTCTACTGCCAAATTGTCAGAACAACATTGTTCCGACCTTTTTTTTTTGGGCAATAATTAGAGCAATTAGCCCAGTTTCAATTATCAAAATTAAAAAGCAAGATAGGCTTTCAAAGTTGAAATTTTGATACAAAAATGCACATGTATCTTAGAAAATTTAGTCTTTACTTTGTAATAAATATGATGACTTTTATTTTATATGGTTGTGCATTTGTTTATTCAATTATAAAGGGTAACTAATTGCTTGAAAATGTTATTATGTTGAATATGCTAGATATTTTGGAGAAGTTTATTATAGTTCTTCTCTAAAGATAGAAGATTGTGCAGTGTTTCTTTCTCATGCCATTTTAGAAGGAATTTTTTTGTTTTTTTTGGTTTGTTTACAAAGTTTAATAGATGGCATATTTGGCTTACAATGTCAAATTGGATTTTTATGCTGCTAGAAACAGGTAAAGAGAGGGTGTAACTACACAATATTTGAAATTGGAGTGGAACTTTCTGCAATTGTCATAAATCTTGGGAGAAGTTTGTGAAATTATCCAATTATTCTTTTTCATAATTGGGCTGAATCAATCGTAATCAATCTTAGTGTGGGCTGGTAGGAAAATTTGGCGTGAATGAAAGATTTGCAATTTTGATGCGCTCGAAGTATTGCACACCAGGCAGTATACCACTCGAAATGGAAAAACGTATTCACTTTTTTTTTATTCCTATCTGAATCAAATTTAATTTAAAATGAAATTAATTAAAGTAAATTAATAAAATTAGGAGTCCATGAAGAAATTCAAATTATTATATATACCACATTAAAATAAATACCATATTATTACTCATCTGTAAAAAGGGAGGGAGATCAATCTTGTATGTTTGGATAAGAGATTATTTAAAATAATATTATAATATTTTTTTATATATAATGCATGTGAAATTTAAAAAAAGTAATTAAAAAATATATTTATATAACATCGTAAGTCAAATCACATTTAGAATAAAATCTATATCCAATGCTCAAAGGCAAATTCAGTCACAAAATTGCACTCGAGAGCGTAACGGGCTCGTTTCGCAGCTCCATCACTTCCAAGTCATTCGTAAATCAACCGACGACCTGCTTAAATGATTCCATCCTTCCAAGCTTAGTTCAAAGTACAACGTCAACGTCTGACGACACCATTAGCTTCTTGTAACCGGTAGTCTGTAAGGTCTCATCATCACGGCAGTTCTTCTAGACAAAAGTAAGACATATGTCCAACTAATCAACCCCGACATCTTTGCCACGCGTACCCGTACACCGCGAAAACCCAACGGCCCCGCAACTTCTTCCAACCGCTCCTTTCCTCCCACGTGGATCCCCCGCGCTTTTTTTTTTTTTTAATCTTTTTTAGCTTTGTCGAGATTCATCAATTGCTTTGCTAGGTTCACGGGCCCAGTGGGAAATAAATTGGGAGAGAAGACAACTTTGCTCGCGCAACCTGTGAGGGTTTTATCTACCCGCAAAATTACCATATTTGTGGTGTACATCTCGAAAAGGGGAGATAAGTCAAACTCATTATTGCAACAGTTCTTTTGGTTTGCACCATTTTTTATAGAAGAAGATGATGAGTGATAAGGAATGGCAACATCAGTAGACAAAGGCAAATCAGAACACTGTTGAACAAGCCATATTAGTTTTCCTTACTGAATCTTTCTTTACACCTTAACAAATGAAGACAGGTCGGCTGTCCCTATTTGTAAGCTTTTGGGCTCCAGCTGCAGACATTATTGTTTACTCTAGGCCTCCAAGGAAACCCTTTTAAAATTTCTTCCCGGAAGCAGATTCTTTTGATTGGAGCAGCAATAGAGAGAAATAAAGGGTGAAAGAAAGAGGATATCAAACCATGGAAGAAGATGAAACAGAGGTTCTGCTATCAAAGTACAAGTCACTTCCTGCAGAAAACTCGTTCCACGAACACGAAGCCACCGTCGGACTGAAGAAGTTTACATCAAGTCCGGCATGGTTTTTTCTAGACCAGTCTAGTCTCTGGAGGGCAGGTCTTTCTTGGTCACTCTTCTTTCTTCTAACCATTGGTGTCCCTCTTGTATCCCACTTCGTCTTTGCCTGCTCAAGCTGTGATCAAGATCATGTGAGGCCTTTCGATTCGATCGTCCAATTATCGCTTTCTGTGTTTGCAACGCTATCTTTTATCAGCCTCTATTCTTTCACTCGCTCGTACGGTCTGAGAAAATTTCTGTTTCTTGATAAATTAAGTGATGAGAGTGAGAAAGTTCGACACGGCTATACCCTTCAGATTGAGGTGAGTCACTTTCCATCCCTTTCTTCTTGTCTGTTGAGTATATATTATACTGATTAACTATCATTCTTGGTTTCTTTATTTGCTAATCTAAAAGGAACAGCAGGATTTTTAGCATAATAATTGAACTCTTGATGATTACTCCAATTCGACGCTGGTATTTAAGAAAATCCTTAGCGATCCTTTTCATATTCATTTTGGAAACCTTATGACACTTGTACTAACAGAATTCAGGTAGCTTCATATGAAAGCTGTGACGCGTTCTGAGTTAGGCTAAATTGCTTCCTCTGGAAAGTCATCCGTTTCTGCTTGCTTCTAATGTTTGCTGCCACAACTTACCAACTTTAAGCTTATTTTTAAGCAACCTCAAGCTTATTTTTAAGCAACCTCAAAATTTTATCTTTAAACTGACACTGGCTTCTGAATCTAAGGCATAGATTTTGCCATTACAAGGTTATGATGCATAAAAAAGTACATCTTGAAGAAGTCTGTATGCAGATAGAATTAGGAACTGTCCTCACTTTTTTGACACAAAAATACTAGTATCCAATCCTCGGATGGCGACATTTTTCCCAAAATTTAATTTCAGTGATTTGCGTGCTTAGTCTGCTGCTTCAGTTGCCGTGGCTGAGCAACCACTAGAAAGAAGAAAAACAATGCGGTCCACGGAAATACTTTATCCTTTACATTTTCAGTAAGTAGCAGAACATGTTAAAAGAATTTACTACTTTTACCGGCGAATCAAATTTCTTTCGATCTCAAACTGCAAGTCGAATGGTAAAAATTCTTGACGTCTAGTGAATCCCATATACATACTTTTAATCGAATCAGATTTAGGCTACTTTTTCTATGTTAATGGAATTAGAATCGCATGCTTGAAATTGAAGGATAATGCCTATTGGTGGTGCAGAGATCACTGAAGATCTTGTCAGCATTTGTCCTTCCCTGCTTCCTGGCGGATGGTGTCTACAAGATATGGTGGTTTGCCTCTGGTGGAACCCAAATTCCCTATTTCTACAATGTCTACTTGAGCCACATCATTGTGTGCGTACTGCTGTTGTCTTCATGGCTTTACAGGACATCAGTTTCCTTCCTTGTATGTGTCCTGTTCCGCCTAATATGCTACCTGCAGATCCTTAGGCTGGAGGACTTTGCACAGGTTTTCGAGAAAGAGTCTGATGTTGCTGCAATCTTGTTGGAACATCTCAAGATCAGAAGAAATCTTCGCGTCATAAGCCATAGATTCAGACGGTTTATTTTGTCTTCACTGATCCTTGTCACTGCCAGTCAATTTGCGTCTCTACTTGTAACAACTGAGTCCAGCTCCACTGTCAATATTTCTACTGCAGGAGAACTTGCAGTAATCCTTCATTTCCAACTCTCTACTTTGTCGAACTAATGCTGTTTCATCATTGTGTTAGCATTAACTGCATTGTCGTATATTTTGACATCTATCAACTTACTCTTGTGCAGTTATGCTCCATCACCCTGGTAACAGGCCTTTTCATATGCCTGCGTAGTGCAGCGAAAATCACACACAAAGCCCAGTCTGTTACGTCTCTTGCGGCAAAATGGCATATCTGTTCCACTACCAATTCCTTTGATGACTTCGATGCTGAGACTCCCAGGTCTCACATTACCTCAGATCAGGCCATATACACAGATTCTGATGCCTATTGTGACACTGATAATGAAGAAGGAGATGGAGATGATGAAATTGACAACACAAACATGGTTCCAGTTATACACGCCGTATCCTACCAGAAGAGGCAAGCACTAGGTGAGTTACAATAGTTATTCCAGAGATGTTCCTTCTATCAACTTAATCTTAGTACCTGCAAGCCTGAACAATAAGTGTTTCTGGTTAAAACATCTTGCAGTGACATATTTTGAGCACAACAGAGCTGGAATTACAGTTTATGGCTTTATGCTGGATAGATCATGGCTTCACACCATTGTTGCTATCCAGTTGTCGCTTACGCTGTGGATATTAAACAAGACAATTGGTATTGGGCAATAACTTAAAACTCGTTCATCCACTCCTCTTCATTCTGTGCTTTGTGACAAAAGGGGAGTGGAGTCCCAAATCACTCCTCTGGTGGGCTGTTCACAATATTGCATGCGCGTGCATATAAGAGAGAGAGAGAGAAGCTTATTGTTTGCCCTGATCTTTAAGTCGAATGATTGTAGCTAGTGCCTGATCTGGTCATATGCTTCCTCAGCTAAAAGAACTGAATGGTATTCTAAGTACCCTTGTACAGGTGGTGTTGCTGAAAGAAAATTCAGGGCACTCTGTCTTCTCTTCTGCTAAATAAACGTCGATTGTTTCATTTTGGCAAAACTTTTAGACGGTGCAATTTGAGAATCTCAAAAAGTTTTAGTTCGCAAAACTGAATGTACCAAAGAAAATGCCACCTTTTTGCCTAGGAGTGGGCACTTTAAGAGTTAAAACCTGCCTACTTGAACTGAGTGCAATGCAAGTTTGACCAATGGGGGCCGAGCGACTGCACATTCCTAGAATCAGGCTATATTTTGGTTTGGACTGTATAACAATTTCCGAATCCCAATCTGAGATTAGACTCTGGGAGAAATTTTTTTTCTTTTTGGCTTTTTGGCAATTGCGGTCTCGACCAAATATATGAAAGTGAAGTAAGCTATTTCTAGGACAGAACTCAAATATAAAAAAATTCAGTTTTACATCTACCTAAGGGCAAAGACTGGACCATTTGGTATGATACATAGCTATAGGATGGTGTAAGAAAAATGATGTTGAGTGATTTATGATAATTCTCGTGCTCGTGTGATTATTACACGTTCACATACTACCACAGTTCAAGCCTACCCACTAGTTTGCAACTCAGTGGCAATTGAATGAAACCTTTGCAAGAAATTAAGAGCTGATATACTTTGAGCAACCTATGCGGGTGTTAGTTACCATGTTGATTGAGATGATGTCGGAAAATGGAGTTCCACTACTCTTGAATGGTCGAGAATTTGAGCTGCACCCTGGCTATGATGAGTCCACCACTCGCAAGTAGATGTCAAATTCTGCTTATGATGAGTCAAATATACCGTCCATTTGATGTGAATCAACAGACATTCAACTATTGATTGCAATCATTATTAGCACAGGGCTTGTTCTCGATAACTTACAATGGGCGGATAAAGCTTTGTAAGCCCCGAAATTCTAACTTGTTTTCCTGATCAGGTTAGGAGGTTAGTGTTTGCACTTTGCAGCCGTAGTGTATGATATCAGCTATGGAAAGTGAGAAAACAAGCAATCTTTCAGCGGAAACCTGTCTCTGCTATTGACATTGTGGCTGCTATAGTACAAGATGTGACTGCAAGTCGGAGAAGAATTCCTCGCACTAAGTTGAATTGGGAACTGGTTTCGGAACTATATAAAATTTTCTTCTCTTTTATTTTCTCCTTTTCCTTCCTTTCTTTGCGAACACGCTTCATCATGTGCTATGTAGGGTTCAATGGCTTTACCGTGATACGTATGACTTTGGCTCATGATACAAGATAATGAAAGAAAACGATATACGGCATTTTTTTCTTGTTTTGCTTCCACTCTTTTCGAAACATCATCTTAAATTATTAATTGAGATCGAACAATGAACGAGGAGCAAAAAGACGTATGATAAAAGAAACATCTGCTTCATTATTGCTACAGAAATAAGTTCCACACCGATACAAAAAGACTTAAAAAGTTTGCAAGAAACATTTCCTTATGCTATGTTTCCACCGTGGTGGCGAGGAGTGACTCTTCCTTCCTTTGGCGGATTTGTGTCGCGATTTAGAATCTGCATACCACCAAATTTCAAGTCGGGCAAATGAATTAGTATAAGTAAAAATGAAAACTTTGGTTGAAAGGAAAGAAGCAAACACATACATGGAACAGTTGAAGTTGCGATCAATTGTCATGTTGATATGGATGTTGCAGGATGAAACAAATTGGGTAACTATCGGAGGAGGGACAGCGTGCAGCCTTCCAGCTCCTTTCAAGCAATAGCAGGAAGATTTCATGTTCGGTTCCGACGACTCAAGTATGATGCCCAGCGCCTGTGCACCAACACAGCAATCAGGACTGGGCGAATGGGTGTGAGAGAAGAAGAAAGGTTGGCATGGAGCAAGTAGTCCCAGGAGGGTTCGACAGTCGAATGCGCTCTTGGTGGCTATGCCTGGGCTGACAACCAATGCCAAAACCACCATGCCCATCCACCTTATAAAAGAATCGGGTATGGTTTTTTTTCCCATCTCAGTCGATATCTTTTAATGTGTCTGGTTGGAAAAGATGGGAGTACTTTTCTGTGTAAGCTTACTACTGCAATGAGCAATATGATGGTATATGGATGCCTATTTATAGTGCATAAAAGGATAAAATACGTTGTTAATTAATTATTTTTCTTTCTTTTCATGAAACTAAAATTTTTAATTTGGTGTTTAAAGTCTACACCCCCCGTTGGAGAAGGGTTCTTGTAGTCAACTCTCTCATGTATTGACTGTCAACTTTTGAATTCCTAATTGTTTTGAAGTTTTTCCCCACACAAAGTTGACATATATATATATATATATATATATATATATGTTCCTAGCTGATACATGAATGACTTCGTGTCGATTTTTGAAATAAACACTTGGAATTCAGAGTTAATAATTTAATTCTGATTTCTTTGTTGAAAGATAAATGAAAGACTTCATAAATAAAATTACCACTGATAGCCAGTAGTAGCTGACGGGTAGTATCATAGTCTGGTTGGCGTAAGTATAACCATATCATATTGTTGCGTTCGAGAAAAAGTTCGTATACATAAATAAAATATTTCGCACACATTTAATACAATAACGTAATATTTTGTACATCAATAAGTATAACATATAAAATAACGGACCAAAATTAACATACCACAACTTTACTTATCTCATACCGTAATCGATCGCCAAATTAACCAATTAAGAAGAGTACAATGTATAAAATAGTGGAGAATGTGTCACGAGGCATTATGCACATTCCCTCTGAGCCCGCATAATTAAAAAGTGAGAATTATTTTCGTGCTGTATTTGTCGTCATATTGGCACCCTATCAACACATATGCAACCAGTCAATTCCGTCTTGTTCATAATGCAAATACCGCTTGCTAGCTAGCTACGTGCATAAATGCACACTTATTTTGATTGGTGCCTAAAGCTTTGATTCTTTCCTTCTGGTCTGTGCCTTGTGGCGTGTGCTTGCGGTTATTCTAATAACTTCTATGCCATTCGAAAAATATTTTGTTCAGGAAGACGAGGAATTGACTGCTATGGCACTCGTATTAGTATTTGAAGAATACTCGGTAGCGTGCTGACGGTCTTTTACAAATTGGAATTTGGAGCGAAATTTGATATGTTTTTTTTTGAGTATTTGTCTTTTATTTTGTGAGTATTTGTCTATAACTTTATTGTAATTTACTATAATTATTTATAAAAAAAATGCTGGTGTTTGTCTAATACACTCAAAACATCTTCTACTTTTTCAAAAAGTTACCTCGTGCCACCCACAAACCTCTGTCACCGACATTCTATTTAAATTTTTTTGATATTTTTCTAAAACTTGTAGATAGTTTAGAGTGTCATCGTAGATGGTGTTATAAACAAATTCTGTTTTTCTAGAATAGACCAAAAATAGGCCATCCAAATAACCTTTTTTTCCCTAGAAAAACATGTCTTTAGTTTCAATTAGAATTTGGAATCCTCTTCCAACTTTTTCTTGTGTTAATAGTTTAAGAGCTTTTGCCAAGCCACTGTACTCGTGGACCACAAAATTGAAGAAAAATCAGCCATATTTTTAGCATCTTGACAATTTCTTGAAATGATAGTTGATTATAAGTTATATAGTATCAGATGATTACGAATCACCTGCTTTGTTTGGATTGCGATTTATTTGTCAAAATATATTTGCTTACATCATCATTACAATTTCCAACACACCTTTTTATCTTCTCAATTATCTTTTTATCTCACATACATCACATCACAAAAAGTGCTACAGTAAAAATGTCTCTAATAATTCACAATCCAAACAAGAATGAGTTTGGTTTTGATTACTACTAGAAGATAAGATATGCTTTCGTATAGAAATTTTTATAAACCGTCTGATAACACACTAATATCCATCTTTTGTGTGAAAAAGATCCATCATGAGTCAACTTGTGTTTGTGTCACCTTGCGATCCTTCTCCTGCAATTTCACTATGGGTCAACCTTTTTGACTTAGAAGCAGTGGGAAAAGCACTAAAAACATTTTGCAGCAAAAGATTAACATAGAGATCCTCTTCGTGCATATTGGTCTACGGTCTACGGTCTACACAATTACTTTTTCGGTGGTAGCTTGGCTTCAAATTGATTGTCCCCCATGTCCACAAATGTAATTCAACGAGGGAATTATTTTGGCGGTGAAATTAATGTCTAAGATATTGTACTTGAACTTGTCAGGGGATTGATGGTCCCAATCAACTTTGCGATTAGAGAGACAACTGAAAATTCAAGAACTGAAGGATCGCAAAGCTCCAGTGTCGCTTCGGAATTTTTGCAGTGACAAATAAGAAAACGGTAGGGATCCTTGTAGACAAGGGATCAAGATGAAAATACTTGAAAGAAAAAATAACAGGAGAAGAGAAAAATTAAGAAAAAAAAAAAACAAATTCGTTTCCTTAGTTTGAATGACAGTTTATAGGAGAAACGGACAACAGTTTCTTTCATTTATATCTAAATTTAGAATATAGAAAGAACCATTTAAGCATTCATTTTCACCTTGAAGGATTCTAGAGCAGGGTGTTTTTTTTTTTTCGGAGACGATAACAGTTGTATAAGATAATCTATTCTACACTAAGGGGGAGAGGACTGATCTAAGGAGGTCCAGGAATAATTGGAAGGGGACTGAACTACCACCAGACCAAATATATGCACAACACACCTGCCTGAATTTTTTGAAACAAACCATTTAAACGTGGCATTTTAATGGGTCCCACCAAGTTAGGTGGTTTAGAGCCAGGGTGCTTGAGTACTCGCTTTGTTCGAGCAAAAAGAATCAGAGGAGTGCCAAGTCCCGAAATCGTTGGCCTATGTTAAGAGATTATTACAACATCAAGCCAATTAGTAAAAGATTCACACAACCATATACAGTTGAACCAAGTCAAGTATTCTGTATGTCTTGCCGTAATTAATTAATCCAAAATATTAATTGGCTTGATAAATATAGGATTACTAGACATTGAATATTTCTTTTCCTTTAATGTAAATGTAATTTCCAAGGTCTTGAAATAATCAAAGTAAAATTCAGATGTGGAAAAATAATCAAAGA